TCGTAACTATACCTCAAAAAGTTTGCTCTCATCTAAACCTGGAACTGGTGGAGGCGTAGGCGTGACACTCACCCGCAACCACGTGTGGTTCAGACACTGTTTGGCGGTCATACGTTGGCTATGAATTGGCAATTATATTTAGTATGTATTAAGCATTGATTTGCGAGCAAACATACTCCCTGTCCTTAACGAGTAGATGAGATATAAAATCTTTGGCCTCATCGGAGATGGGATCAAAGCTCTCGTCGTCGAAGTCGAACTCAGCTTTCGTCACATTAGCCATGGTTTCCAAATCGCTGTCCCCCATGAATGGCGACAAACCCGACAAACTGTTCGCACAATTCAATCATTCATTCAAAATTGATTTATCTATTTAGTAGCAGGTTGCTTTTTCGTCAAATAGATATTGATATATCTATTTGACGAAAAAGCAACCTGCTATTTAGCAAAAAACTTACAGAATATAACAGATCACCCCAACAGCCCACCTATAGGTTTAAATAGATAATGACAATCATTTTAAACTGAATCATTGCTAATATATGGTAGTGTGTAGTGTGTGTGCAATACATACATATCAGTGGTGAAGCCGACCTCTTCAAAGTTGACCACTTCTGGTGCGACAAACTCTGGAGTACCGAAAAGTATCTGCAATTTGTCGTTCTTGTTGTAACGTCGGGCTAACCCAAAGTCGATCAGTTTGATGCGATTGCCAGTCCTGGTCACACATAACACATTTTCCGGCTGTTAGGGCCCCCACCCCATAGCAAAGTTAAAAATAAGTTTGCCGTTGAATATTCAAATTTTTAAAATTTACTCAAATGAATAAAAAATATTGTTTTTATAATTAATGTCAGTTTCGAAAGTGATTTATTGCTTTCATTTAATTTGTTTTTTGATTATTAATTTTGTTATGCCTTTCATTGTTAACCGAGTTTTTTGGCAAATTCTATGCGTTTTTAAAGTGCTGTAAAAATTGCGAAAAGTTATCTACGAATGAGATCCAAAAAACTTGTGTATAATTTGTGTTAGAATTAAATTTTTCGAAAACAGTTTATTCTGATCTTTATTTAGAGATAATTAAGAAGTTTTAAAAGATATTATTTCATTAAAGTATTAAAGCAGACAAAAGCCAAATGCAATTTTGGCTCTCATTTATGTGAATACAATTTACTCCAAAGGTATAGTAAACTAAGCGTTCATTATTAGCATTTTTTACTCAAATATCAAGTAAAGTATAGTATTTTCTTTTATTATAGGCTTAAAGTTAAAGTTTATTTTAACAATTATCCCTATTATGATTCTGTATAATAATATTGAAATTATGTATTAGTAGAAATGATATAATGATAATAATCTCACAATAAAAACATTATTTTAATGAATAACATTGAATTGATGTTTCGGAAAATAATTTAAAAATAATATTTACGTTAAAATTAGTTGCGTTCATAAGATGTCTAATTTATGAATGGATGTAAAATAACATCATTGAGTGCTTTCTATTTTTGTTTTTCTAATTATTTATGTATTAATATATTTATGTTTGAATATCGTTAGTGAACTAATATTTAGGAGTAGTTAACTGATATCTGTTTGGAAAGCATTTCATGGAATCATATATTTAGTAAAAGTTGCTAGTTAATAAAATAAACGATTAAATAATCTTAATTGTTTATAGTTATGCTTATTACAATAAATGATAATTTATGATTATTGTTATCAAATATTAGATTCTTGAATGGAAATGACTAAACAGTAGTTGACAACAAGTGATTGGGAAAAAGAGATTCAAACTGAAAATGTTTATAAATAGATGCTTTGAAACGTTTATTTTTACACTTGTGTTACAAATGTTGAACAAACGAGTGAACAGCCAATGGATGGAGGCTTTGAAAAGCTGTGTCTCAAAAAGATTGTGGAATTTACAAATCCGCTGACCTTACTCATTTATCTATTCTTAATATTGTATCTCTATAAACATGTTTAAATATTTATCGTAGAGTAGATTTTGTTTAAAAATGTTTTCAAAATAATTGTATTTTGCATTACAGGTACATGAGATGCTATAATTACAAACAATGTTTTTCAAAATCATCCTAATGTAATAAAATTTATTTTAAATATATTTTCATTAAAATTGTTATTTTATATTCTATAAATATTTATCTATAAATAAAGTATAATAATTTTAATAATAACTTTTATCATAATATTATTGTGATACTTAATACTTGACTATATTAACTAATAACACTTGATCAATTATCAATAATACCTATAATGTATATTAAATTATTATTATTAAATATAAAATATTAAAATATTTATAGTGCATAGAAATCTCTATTTAAAAATTTAAAATATTCTTTAGTGTTGATAATTATAAGATTAAGAGTAATGTCTTTTGTATACAATTAAAAAACAAAATACATTAATGTGAAAATGTCTTAACTTATAAGGAAT